TACACCAGCATGCCAAGCAGCCATCGGGCAAAAAATGGAGGCCCCCCCATTTCAGGAGAGCTCCCACCCTCCCCTCGCCAGAGCTCTTTGCTCTCAGAGGCAACACTTGTTTATCAGCAAATCCACCACCTTCTCCCTGCCCTCCCTCTTTGCCCCGTGTGTGGCATGGACCCTCACCTTCCCCGTGACCCCTGGCAGGTGATACGCGTCCTCCCCACCTCTGAGCCTAGTGAAGAGAAGTCCCAGCCTCTCCAAACACGAGCTCTGCCTGGCTTGACTTGTACTATCATCCATCTGTTTATAAATGGAATACATATTACATATATTTAATTTGGAAAAAAATATTTTTAAAAACCAAAGAAGACGATAAGTACTCATTATCCCACAACCCAGGAATTTTTTATAATGTTTACGTCTGCCAGAAGTTTATCAAACCATAGAGGCTCATGTTTTTTCTTTTTTCCACAAAACTGGAATGATCCTGTGTCTACAGTTTTGTAACCTGCTTCTTCCTGTTGTGATTCAGAGTGAACATCTCCCTGTGTCATTAATTATTCATCCACCACGTTGCTGTGGTGCTGCCTAGCAGCCACCGTGGGGACGCATCATCCATTAACCATGCCCCTGCAGTGGGACATGCAGGCTGTTAGGATGCCCTCGGACTTTGGGAATAGTTTCTCAGGTCCCCACATGGTAGGGATGTCCTTTTAGGTGTCCACTGATTGAGAAAATGCATATTGACTAACAAAGTTCAGAAACAAGTAGAAACAAACAACCTATTGTTTAGACATACATTCATGCGCTAAAACTGAAAAAACTAAGAGCAAAGGAATGATAAACACAACATTCAAAAGAATGTTCCCTCTGAGGGAGGAGTATATAGATAAATTTGTAAGTGATTGGTAATGATCTAGTTTTGGATTGGGCAACAGATTCCTTATATGTGCTACTACATACAAACTTCCATAAAAGAAAAGACTAAAATAAAATAAAGTTGGGCCGTATATGGGCTAATGATGACAAGAGGTCATGAATCAAAGACTCTGATCAATTAAAATGCATGCCCCTGAGGTCCAAATAAAGGAAAAACGCATAATCCCAAGAGACTTAAGGCAGGCTTTAAGTGGATTATTTCTGTTTTATTCATCACAGAGGAATCTAATAGAGCATATACTGTAAGTTGTAAGGCATATTATTTTTTCAGTCCATAGGCAATGTAAGGATCCAGATGGAATCAAGGATTCCTTGAAATAACTCCCTAATCCAATACACACACACACACACACACACACACACACACACACACACAGGGCTGGTCAAATGGGAAGAGAACCTTGGTCTGGGAGACAGGGCTGCTGCCAGGGCATTTGTTCTTTCAGTGGTGACTCACTGAGCACAGGCCTGGAGCATTCTGATGGGTGCTAGGGACTGCTTAGTGAACATGACCAGCCCTGCCCTCTGGGAGTCACAGTAGAAAAACCAACAACCTTGATGTGACATCGACCAGCACCCGGCAGATGGAGGCACGGAGAAGGGCCACCCACCCCAGACAAGTCAAAGGAGGTGAGGGCTAAGCTGAACGTTAGAAGGATGAATGGGAGTCGGCTAGGCTAACTGGAGCACAGCGGTAAGGGCATTCCTGGCAGAGGGAACGGCACATGCGAAGGTACAGAGGTAGAGAATGTCCCCAGGGAACGGCGAGTTGTTCCAAAGTGCATCTCAAGTTGAGAGGAGCAAGAGGATGGGGAATAGACAATCATGAAGAGTGTTGTTTTCAGTGCTAGAGAGCTGGGCTCTGTCCCGAGGGCAATGGGGATCCACTCTTGTGAGAAGTCACACAGTCTTAGAGAAATCACTTCCTCCCCCCGTGAAGGGAGACAAGGAGCCCAGTCTGCTGTGGAGATGAAGATGGCCTGGGAGCCGTTGGAGAGGAAGTTCCTTTTCCTCCTCTGGGCCTCCCTTTGGCCATCTGTAAACGACAGTGTAGGGTTGGACGGTTGCCAGAGACCTGAAGCCCGATCCCAAGGCTCAACCTGAAGACACCAGACCATCTCCCCTGTGCCAGCGTGGAGTGGGGTAGGATGGGGAAGGAGTATCTGGCCTGGCCGGGGGCACTGTTCCCAGTGCTGCAGGGCAAGAGGGGGGCACCTTCTGGCCTCTCCCAAGCCTCTGTGTCCTCAACAGTCCCACTGTAACTGCAGTGAACCCCCCAACCTGTCCCAGCCCTGCGTACTCCCTGTCTCTTCAGCTGGACAGAGCACAGCCCCACCAGACATGCAAAGGCAGACTCTGTCCCCTCAAATCCAGTTTTCCAGCTGTTTGATGGGTGGTGGGATGAGTGAGAGAACGTGTGTGTGCTGTGCAGACACGCGACTGTGCGAGACACCGTGTGTCTTTCCATTGTGCTGTGCACGCCTATCTGGTGTTAGGCTGTACGCTGGAGGACCATCCACTGCAGCTGACATCAGAGGTGGGCCAGAGGCACCTGACCCACCCCCGCTCTGCTCATGACACCCAGGTATCTTCCCCAGCACCTGTCACACTTCCCTGAACTTATTTGCAACCTGTCCCACCAGACTGGGGGCACACAGACTGTCCCAAATACCGCTGCCCCAATGCCTGGCCTGGGAGCTCACCTCCATCCCAGGGACCTCCCACCCACCTCTGCTTCCTTGGCTAGCAAAAAGTCCCAGACTTTATTAATTGTAGTTGAATTTAATCTAAGTGAGGAAAGTTTTCGCTCATTACAATATCTTCCTCGTTTACCTATTTGCAGACACTAAACTGAGCTATAAAATTAATTTGTTCGAAAGCCGCTCCTTTTTTCATTTTTCTCTCTGTCGCATCTAGAATAACAGACAGTCATACCTATGATAATAAACTCCATGACGAAATGGCCCTGCATCCTGGAAACCAGGGGACCCCAGGTCTGTGGGCCTGTGCTCAGGCCCTGACTGTCCCGTCAAGATGCAGAATGAACTTTGCCTCTGCCCCTGAAATGGTCACTTCCCAGAGGAACCTATATCACATGTGCTGTCCCAGTTAAGAGCAGTCCAGGTCTCCCAGGCTAAGCTTCCATTCTTCGTGTGAGACGATGATAAGTCCTTGGCCTGTGGTCACAGGGCACTCACCACCCCATGAGATAGCTGCTTTTCCTGTGCTGTGGCTCTGGTGATGAACAGGTTAATAACTTAGCTTGATCTCTCCTTTTCCCCCTGGGCTGGGATCAGTGTGTGGAGAGCCTCCTTTGTGCATGAATGAGACTAATTCCCAATGAAGAAATGGGCTGATCCTGCCAGCCACACTCTAGCCTATGTGTGACCCTGTGGGGCAGGGCTCAGTCTGGGACCAGGGCCGAACCTCAGCCTGGGACTGGCAACAGGACTCTGCCTAGGGTTGGAGTTGGGACTCAACTGATCCTCACCTGCTCCTGGCACTAGTTATTAGGGACCTCTGCCTCTGCAGCTGCCCGAGCTGAGCCAAGGGCTCTGTCCATTCAAAAAGCAGAAGACAGACCTGGCTGGCTGGTCTGCACCTTGTACCTGCCAATCAGCTGGCCGTGGAGAGATTGCTGTGCTCAGCCCTGGTCTCAGTGCTCTCTGACTCTGCCTGGGCAGTGACAGCAGCATTCATGTGGAGGCTGGTGACACTGGAGCACACAAAGGCAGCCCAGCCTGCCTCTTCTCCTCTCCCTGCTCAGGGCATAATGCTGGCTCAGGGTGGTCTCAGTCTTCTCTGGCAACTTTGTTCCCAGTGGAGGATGGCAAGAAGGGATAGGTCTAGCTCCCCTGGGGCTTCCAGCCCAGCTGGGACTGGGTCCCAGCTCTCCCTGCCCTCTGAAGATAGAAACATACACACACACATGTGCACACACATGTACATCTGCCTTTGCATCTCATAACTCAGAACCAGAGATTGTCAGGGCTGGGAGCGGCCTCTAAGAACATTTCACTGATGGAGAAACTGCCCCAGAAGAGAGGATGAGAATTGGGGTAAAATGCGTAGAGAGCAGAGACAGAGGCAGAGACAGTAAAGACTGAGTTGGGGCCCTGTCTCTTGAGCCCAGTTCCCCCCACTCAGCAGGCATGAGCAGTGGGCCTGCCCTAGGCACTCAGTGGAACCACAGGGAATTATGGAGCAGGCAGTCCTGAGGGGCCTAGGCAAATTCCAAATAAAGGTTTTTGGGGTCTGATCTCTCCTGCACACACACACACACACACACACAGGTGTGGAACCAGTTTCAGGCAGCCCTGCCCAAGCCAAGAGGAGGAGAGGGTCTCACTTCTCACTTTATTCCCTCTGAAACCCAGGGCAGTAAGACCCGGGTGTGTGAAATCCTCCAGATAATTTCAGCCAGATTCTCCCCTGGACTTTTCCGTGTCCTTTAATGACAACACCACCCCCGCCCCCAGTCACCCAAGCGGGAGACCTGGCATTATCCCTGCCTCCTGGCTCCTGTTGGAAGCCACCCACCCACTCCTCTCTCCAGTTCCTCCTCACCAGGGCTGGCACTCCCCGAAGTCCCTCTCTATCCCGGTCCCCACGGCTTGGTCCGGGTCTGCACCCATTCAGGCCATTTGATCTCACTAGACTCTTCAGTGGCTCCCTTGCTTCCCTCGAAGCCCCTCCAATCCACTTCCTTCCCAGAGACTAAGGGGTCTTTTCTAGAACGCACATCTGCACGTGGACTCGCCACTCCCCCTGTCACCCCCTCCAGTGTCCTCGCTCAAGGAGGAGAAAGTCAGGCGGCGAGCCACCCGATTCTGGCTCCTCGGGTGGGCGGGCGCGCGCGCTTTGCTGCGCCATGCAACCCCTGGGCCTCGATCCTCGGACGGGTCATTCCGCCCACCAGGCCCACATTCTGCATTGCCGCCACCCTCCCCCGGACCTTGCCGGGGCCTGAGAAGGCGGACCCAGGGCAGGGCTGGTGGGCCGGGGGCGGGAGCCTGGGCCAGGGCGAGAGGAGCCGCCTGGCCCCGCCCCCTGGTGCCGCCATTGGCCGCGACCTAGCGGGTGTACCGGCAGCTCCGTGCGCTTTGCAGCTCCTCTCAGCCAAGGTCCCGACTTGGCAGCTCCGGGCGATCCGACGCAGCGTCCGGAGGCTGTCCGGAAGGTCGGGCTGGGCGAGCAGGGCCAGGACCCTGCGCTCTCTCGGCCGCTCAGTCTCGAACCCAGCCCCTGGCAGCCACGCCGGACGCGCGCTCGCACTCCCACTCGGCGCGCGGCTCCGGGGCGCGATGGACGCGGCACTGCTCCACAGCCTGCTGGAGGCCAACTGCAGCCTGGAGCTGACAGAAGAGCTGCTCTTGGACGGCTGGGGCCTGCCCCTGGACCCCGAGGGTAGGCGGGAGGCGAGCGGACAGGGTCGGCGCGGGCTCCTTCCCTGGCGCGCTGGGTGCGCCCAGGGCCCCGCGCTCCGAGCGCCTCGCGCCCTACGTCCTGCGGCGCCCCGCGCCCCCAGCAACCCCTCTGAGCCCCGCTCTGCTCTCTCCCGTCGTCAGGTCCCTACTCCTACTGCAACACGACCTTGGACCAGATCGGGACGTGCTGGCCCCGGAGCGCGGCCGGAGCTCTGGTGGAGAGGCAGTGCCCCGAGTACTTCAACGGCGTCAAGTACAACACGACCCGTGAGTGTCCCCCGGACCCTCCGCTGCGGGTTCAGCACCCGCCTCCCAGGAGGGCGGTTTAGGGGCTAGCGAGGGCTCCGGACCCAGCGTCGAAGACCTGAGGGCGGTGGCACTGTCCTACGGCCGGCGTTAAAGACATAATACTGTGGGCGCTCCCTCTGCCCCACCTCACCGTTAGCTTCAGACCTCAGTAAGGCAGTGATTTGCCCACGATTTCCGTGCTCCAATGCGCAGAGAGCCCAGAAAGGGGAGAAGGAAACACTTCTTTCCTTTTGAGGACAAACCTCTCTCCCACATTATATACTCTTGGTGCCTGAAGTTTCTCCATTAGGGCGTCCCTGTGTTTAGCCAATTTCCGCCCCCCATCTCCCCGGGGAGGTGGGAAGGGGTGGGGCGCATAGACTAAGTTCCCAGCCCCCAGGGTGAGTGCCACGATCAGACTCTACTGTGGGAGAGGAGGAGAGCAGGAGGCAGGAAAAATGGGGTGAGGCTTGTGTTGGGGGGCATGCAAAGCGTAGCCGTTTCTGGGCCAGAGTGTGGGGTGTAGCCTCTTCCCTACCCGGATGTCCCCGGACTGGCCCTCTGGGCTGTGAGTCCGGGGCGGTGGTCAGCATTACTCCTGCTACCCAGGTAACGCATGGTGTCTGAATCAGGACCGCCCACCCCCACTCCCTGGGAGAACAGCCTGTGCTCTCCTTCCTCCTGGCCAATCACCGGCTGGCTTGACACTCTGGGGAGGACGGCAGCAGAGGCCACAGGAGTCACACAGCATCCAGGTGGGGTTGTTCCGGTTGGGCTCTGGCAGGGGAGGGGGTGCCTGAGTCTATGCCCTGTGGTAGGTCTGATGGGAGCCAAGTGGGAGTGTCTTGTGAGGCTGTGGAATGCAGCATCGCTAGCCCGCCCTCAACAGCCACTCACATTTCCAGCCCCGCCCCACCAGCAAAGAGCCTTCTGAGACACGGGGCAAGAGTGGAGGGCACCTGCTTGTCTGAAGCCCCTTATCCTGGAAGCATCATAGCAACCTGTTTCTGAATGTGTGTCTGAATAGTGGCACAGCTCCCCTGTCGCCTCACTCGCACGCGTGCGCGCACACACACACACACACACACACACGCCTGTCCGAACTCAGGCCTTCACCCCGAGAGATGGTTAGAGGGCTAGACCGTGGCATGTGCGCCTGAGGCTGAGTGGCATTGCCCCGTCTGCACCAGCGGAGGGCTCTCGTGTCCCAGAGAACAGCTGTGCTTGGAGGAGTCCAATGGCGGTGGCGCTCCTAACGGAAGGGAGTGAGAGGGGTAGTGGGGCTGCTGAGGAAGGTTTCTGCGTCATCTGACCACACTTCCTATCCATGATTAAAGCAAACCTCCCTGGGAGGAGGTGATGTCCCTGACCCAGGAGATGTGCAAGCAGAAGGAATGGCTTCCACGCTCCTTCCCAGTCCTGAGATTATAAAACTGTATTTTTAGGATCTTGTGAGCCGTGTGGGGTGGGGCAGTGGAGATCCGGGGCCCTGACTCAGTCTAAACCCAGAGACCAAGCGCTAAGTGAGGTGATGCGGCCCCTCCACCCCACGGCCTGTGGACCTGAGGCAGCTCTGCTCTGGTTCCTACAGCCTGAGCTGTCCCCTCTCCCCTCAACCAGCCTGGAGCCCCCGAGGACAGGGCCTGGATCTCTTCTCCATTGCCAAGCTGAGCACAGTAGTCAAACAGTTTATTAAACAACTACTATGTGCCAGCCACTGCACTGGCGTTGAGGCCCCCACTCACAATTGCAACAGACAAAAGGGATACAGAGTGATAAACGCCCTGATTGGGGAGTGCAAGGGGGCTATGGGACGAGGAGGGAGAGGGGAGGGGAGACGAGAAGACTTCCCAAAGGAGGTGCCGCAGCACGTACCAGACCACTCACATCACGTCAAATGAGAAGCTGAAAAAAAGGTCAGGGTGCCACGGAGGTTGGTAAACGTAGTGCCAATTAGCCCCTGGTACTAATGAACAATTTTCTTCATTTGGACCAAAGTACTGACTTCTGGCGAGTGGGAGAAGCGTGTGGGGCAGAAGCAGCATTGCCATTAACCAGTGTGGCGGCTGAAGTGGGAAGAGCCAAGGTAGCTAATGGCAATGGCAACGGGGTGATTGATTTCTCTCCTCCCCTGCCTCCTAGCCACTGCTTCCTCCTGCTCTGTTTGCCTTTTCAGTGGGATCTTTCCTGGAGAAAGAAGGACACGGGGAGGGAAAAAGCTCCTATGAGAAGCCTGGGGGAAGAGGAGGAGGGGTCCCGGCTCCTGTTCCTACCCAATTTTGTTATGCTACAGCCAGACCCCCGCTGAAGCCTCATGTTTTAGAGGGCGGGCATTGCCTGCATGGGACAGAAGCTTAGGCAACAGTCCTCGTGTACTTTCGTCCACTCAGCTGAGCACAGAGAATGGGCCACAAAGCTACCAAGTGTGGATCATGGTCCAGGTGCCAGCTACCACTGAGAGAGTTTTGCATACATAATCCCATCATCCCCACCTCCCTAAGGCCTCCTGAGATATGCACTGCTCTTATGCCCATATTGCAGGTGAGAAAACTGAGGCTCAGAGACATGAAGTCAGTTTTTTTTTTTTTTTTTTTTTGGCGGTACGCGGGCCTCTCTCGTTGCGGAGCACAGGCTCCGGACGCGCAGGCTCAGCGGCCATGGCTCACGGGCCCAGCCGTTCCGCGGCATGTGGGATCTTCCCGGACCGGGGCACGAACCCGTGTCCCCTGCATCGGCAGGCAGACTCCCAGCCACTGCATCACCAGGGAAGCCCTCAGCCATCACTCTTAACCACCAGGCAGCACTGCATCCGTGAGAGACAGTTTGCGAGAAGAGCTTAGAGGGACAGGAAAAGACTCATGCCTTCACCCTGGAGGATCAGGGAGGGTTTAGCCTCTGAGCTGGACTTCTGGGCACAGGTGGGATTTTAGTAGGTGAAAGTATAGTAAGTCTAGGGGAAGAGATGGGGACCGTGCTTTGTGCCTCGGGACTGGCCGGTGTTATATGGAGCACAGGTAGTAGGAGAAAGAAGAGGATGAGACCAGATGGATGGATGCTGGTCAGATGACTCACAGTGTTGCAGAGGACTTCACCTTTGGTGCAGGAGGGAGCCTAGGGGAGCTTGTGAGCAGAGGAGCTCAGCTTTGGGACACAGAGTCTCTGGTGGCAAAAGGAGGGGTTAGGAGACTGCTGTAACTGACCCAGGTCAAGTGGAGGCTGCGAGAGCAGAAGAGGGCAAGGGTGCATTTGTAACTGACGAGACTGGCATGAGGCAGGGAAGAGGGGGGATTCAGGGACCACACTAGGGAAATGCTGAGTACGGTAGAGGGTATGTGGTCTGAGGAGCTGGAGGGACGTCTGAGTGAAGATATGGAGAACGCAACTGGCTGGCTGAGGAAGCCCAGGCTAGTGCCTTGGTCTGGAGACAAGGTATTCAGGAGTTCTTGTGTGGTTAGCTAACAGCTACAGGTAGCAAGTGTGGGAGAGTTGGTCAGAGCCTTGTTCTTCTTACCCAGAGGCTGTTTCCAGATTCAGCAATGGCCAAGGGAAGGGAAGGGACTTGTTCAAGGCCACCCATGCTCGTCCATGGCAGAGCCCAGTTAAGTGCCCACGTGTCCGAGTCCCCTCCAGTGTCTTCCCCCACCTGGTGCAGGTTCTGTGTGTCTGTACTGTCTTTGACCTGTGTTAACTCATTAGTCTTTACGCACACCCAATAACAGACATAATATTATCCTATTGCACATGGGGAAACTGAGGCACAGAGAAGTTAAGTGACTTTCCCAAAGTCACACAGCTTATAACAGAACAAGGTTTCTAACTAAGGCTCTGCTGCCTCTGAGAAAGCAAACCTGATGGGTTAAACAGAGAAGGAATTTGTTGAAAGGCTGTCGGGGAGCTTACAGAATTACTGGATGGAACGGAGAACCAGAACCCGAAATGGGGTCCCCAGCCAAGAACTCAGGGCAGAGCTGGCCCAGTGAGGGAACCCCTACTCTCCCTGAGTGGGTCCTGACAACGCCACGAGCCCTGGCCACCAGATGGACCATGGCCTTGCTGTCATCACTGCCTTGGGTTCTTAAGCTTCCTGCAGTGGTCCCCAGGAAACACTCTGCCCATCTCCATTTTGTGGGCCCCCCGCTCACTGATTTCCTCAGGGCCAGTGCATCTGTTGAGGTGCGGGGAGTGTGGAGCTTTGGGTCCCACACTCCAGCTCTGGCTACAAGGGAGCCTAGAAGATGAGGGCCTGGCATCTCAGCCCTGTGGCAGGAGGTGTTCTCTACCTCTCCCAGGTTTCCCCGAAGCCCATGTGGGAATCAGGTTCACATCCTGGGCCACCCAAAACTATCATAATGTCCATACACAGTAGAACCTGGGGCAAGTCCCACCCCCTTCCTGGGCCTCAGTCTCCCTGTCTGTAGGGAGAAGGGAAGTGGATTAGCCCAGCAGTGGTCTGGCCGGAGGCGGGCACTGTATTCCATTTTCCTCCCACCTCTCACCTGTATTCCACTCCTTTGCCCATCTCTGTGTGTGTGTCTCTCTCTGTGTTGTTCTCTTTGTCTCCATGGCTCTGTCTCTGTTTCTGTTTCTGTGTGTGGTTCCATCTCTGTCTCTGGGTGTATTTTCTCTCTGTCTCTTTTTGTGTGTATGTCTCTGTGTATTTCTCAGTCTCTGTCTTGTTTTCTATCTATGTGATTCTCTTTCCCTCCCTCCCTCCCTCCCTCCCTCCCTCCCTCCCTGCATCTTCCTCCTTCAGCTCCCTTCCTCCCTCTCTCTCTCTCTCCCTCCCCCTACCCCTCTCTCCATCCCCCCTCCCTCCCTTCCTTCTCCCCAAATCCTCTATCTCTCCCTCCTCCCATCCCTCGTTCTATCTGCCCCACTCAGGCACCTCCCCTTGCCTGTCCCGGTGGGCCTCGTGTCTGCAAAGGAGGGTCCCGCAGCCTCGTGGACAGGGTCATTTTCCTCCTGCGGAATCACTAAGC